TATTTTAGCCATTTTAGGTACACATTTCAACTAAATTGTCAGGATTACATTTGTGGATCTTCTTGATCCCGAATTGTCCAAGTGTCGTTTTGGAATCCGATTGGGTTTCCCTCTAAAGATAATTTGGGATTTGGAAAATAAATATCATAATCTCGTATAAAAAATTTTTAATCGTATTCGAGATAAAACTGGGAATAGGTTGTATTCCCAGACCTACAAAATCTAAATACAAAATTGTATCAAGATCGGTCAATCCGTTTTGGAGGAGTATTTATACGAACACTGTGACAAGAGAATGTTATAGATATTACAGTAGTGTTGGCGGGTTATTTGGGATACCATTTGTATTTTGTTTTGTTTTTTTTTTTCAAAATAGTCAGGCTGAATCCCAGTTTGTTGTTTTTATAAAAAAACCACTATTTATTAGTGGGGAATTAATGGCATTGTCCGCCGAGGGGTAAAGCAGGGAAGACTATAGTTTCGGATCTCGCCACTGATCCTCATCAGTTCCCTTATGTTTTTGTTGGGATATTCTTCCCAGAAGCTATTTATTACTTTACAAAAAACCTTTCATACCCAAATGTCTCTTGTGACAATTCGAAGTTACCAGCTATACGACCTCAATGAGAAGTTCGGGCGAAAAAACTAAAGGAACTGATGAGGATCAGTGGCGAGATTTTTGCAATTTTTTCTTATAGAACGTTAACATTGTACTGGATTTTGTTAAACCAGGGGTTTAAATTGTCAATTCCTTTGACAATTTTCGATGAAAACTTTAAATATCAAACTATAGTCAAGATGTATTTAATAAGGTGTAAGTGACAATCATATGGTTTTAAACTTTTTTTCTTTTTGTTTGTAAAGTAAATTGTCAAACACATTTTTCGATGTTACATTTTCATTTCAATTTAAAATATTCATAATTATTAAAAAATCGAATGTGTATAATTTGTAAAAAGGAAGAAATTTGTGAACGGTAACGGATCATTTTTTAGTGTCCCAAAGGACGAAAAGAGGATTATTATTTGGAGTGAAATATGTGGGATGGAATTGTCTTCAAAATCGTGTATATGTGAAGACCATTTTTCTCCATCCTACGTAATAAGAGGTCCTCAAAGGAAAATACTGCATGGTTCACCAAAGAGTCTATGTTTGTTCGATTTTCACGAAAGAATACATAGTCTTTAGTTTAAATCCGTTCATCTAAATGATGCACCAAACATCCAAAGTTTGTCTGATGGCGACGAATTTGTGCACAACATTAACATATGTATAGACGTAAATATATAAATACCCAAATAAAAAACGTTTGTCCTTTTGAGATTAGATTTTGGACAGAACGTTGTGATTTAGCATAGCGAATGGTTCATGTCACTTTTGCATTAAATCGGTCCAGATATATATACATATATATATATATATAGCTCTTATGCATAATTGTTTCATTTCATACAAATGTATAGTCGGCCCCGTCCGAGTTTTCCATACTGGTTTTCTTATGAATACTTGACTAATTACATTGAGATTGTGTTGCGTAGCCCGGGTTGGAATTAGTCCACATGTGAAGGTCTATAGCCAACAAAGCCCAATTGACCACCAAATCTATCTTTTCTTTCAAAATGAGAGATTCTGAATAATATTTAACGCGTAGGATTGTTCTTAACACTAATATCTCAGGAACACAAGGACTACTTGTGATAAAATTTTCGAAATGATTTGCGATCGGACCGGAAAATTGATTTGTACAAGCAAATTTCGCACATACAGAACTTGTATGGTTAATATCTCTGAATCCCATAGGATATATGCGAGAAAAAGTTAAAAAATGTTGGCGACCGCACCTTAAAATTTGTAAATTTAATATATTGTAAAATTATTTTAAATAAATAATCGTATCATCCAGAACGGCAAATTTATTCTCGTTCTTTCGAAAAATAGTTTTATTTAATTCTTCAATATTCGTTATTATTAATTTGTTTTTGTTTCTTCATGTCAATAACTAATTGTCAACATAACAATTTAATTTCTATAACAATAATGTTGTTTTTGTAAAATTTTAGTTGTTGTAGCTGATGCATACACCTTATTAAATACACCTTGACTATAGCCAATTCAGTTGGCCAATGTGTTCACCTTTGGTAAGGGGGTTTCTACATAATTATAATACAAACGAAATGCTGCCCAAATATCCCTGAAATTTAAAGTTAATGAGTTAATATACCAAATAACATTTTACGGGGACCCCCATTCTGAATTTTGTTTTTTTTTTATTTCCAATATCCCCAAATTAACCTTCACTAATTCAAGAATATCCCTTTCAAATTTCAAGTGAAAATCTCAACAACTCTTAAAGGTATAACGGATTTATTGAGTCAGCATCAAGCGACGGCATGGGTGATTCTCAAACAGTGTTTTACGGATGCGGCATCAAAAAAATCAAACACTAATAATCCTATCCATCCGAAATTTTGAACACGTTATTCCGGACCTACATAGCTATCGTATAAACTAGCATAAATGTAGGTCAAGATCTTCTTTTTTTCAGCTTTGTTTTTGGTAAAAACAGCAACATTTTGTCAATTTATCTTCTTTAAATCTACAAATACATGCATGTAGTCTTTAACATAATGTATGCTCATTTGGCAGCTGGTTAAAAATTATCGATATTTAAAATGGAGAATGGTTGGGGTCACCTTCCCAATATCCCCAAAATAATGTATATCTGGGGATACCGTTATATAAGGGCTATACCAAAACGTGGACCGATGCTAGGAGTATTAGCAATGTTAAAGGTGAGTTTTTATCGGGACTTTGGAAACAGTCGTTATAACCGATATGTCGTTATATATTTATATTTCGACTATATATGCAAAATTTCAAAGGTCTATAAAGTGACAGACGGAATTGGCTAAATCTACATTTAATTTTATAATTATCAAGAATATAAATCCTTCATGGGGCTCCACGAAATATATCGAGGTGTTGGTGAATGACAAATTAAATATAAATTTAAAAAAATGACACTCCGTCAATTATTTGTTTCCAAATTGTTGATAACCCGTCGACAAATTGAAATTTCCACCGACGTTTACAATTTTCAAAATGTTTGTGTTTTTGGCCGATATTGTATGTATAAGTGTGTGTGTGCATGTAAGAATATCCAAATATATTCATATTGTATTCGACGGAATGATGGATTCGTTGGCACTCAGATGGTAAATCTAACTCAGTCGTTTCTAAGAGGATACGGATGTAAATTTCTTGCCACGTTTACCATTTATGTAATGAAGCGAAAAGTATTGATGCTGGCCCATTCAGCCAACCAAACCATCGATCCACCTCTTTGTTTTGCAGACAGGCTGGCAGGCATTGTTAACAAATCATTGGCACTACACATTCGAAACATAACTGCCACCGATAAAAAAAATACAAAAACACAGAGCACAGCACAAAACAAAGCAAGGCAACAATGAGAATAGAAACATTGCCTAATCCCGAACAATGGGGGCTTTGGCCCAGTTGTATTTAAAATGCGAACAAAATGTATGACAGTGTTGCTTCTGGTGGTAGAGCAGGATTACGGTCGACGTTGTCACTGTCTTGAAATATCCTTCCGAATTGGAGGCCGTCTGCAGTGTGTTGTGTGCCAGCAAAGTTGAAATGTTCAACTGAATGCCTTAATGCACGGCCCATTGTGCGCATGACCAGGACTCGTGTTCCTAGTGTGTGTGTGCGAGCTTGTGTGAGTTGGGCATGATCCTTCCTTGTCTAGCCAGATAGTTGAATGTTGCTGGCTGTGTCTGTGTACGTGTAAGTGAAAGTGGAGAAACAAAAAGCTTTCTCTCTGTGTGTTAGTGCTTGTGAATGTAAGTGACATTCTATTAAATGTGCAATGTGTTGTATACAACAAATCACATTTACACCCACACACACATACACGTATACGTATGGCTGTACATGCAAACACATTGAAATGAAAGGAGAAAAAAACAATAACCGAGGAAAAGCTAACGAGAAACTTCCGTTTGTCATACAAAATGCATGATGAGCCAATGAGGATTGAGACCTTTCCGTGTGGCAGACGCACACTTGCTGTAGCACTTGGCCATTCGAAAAGGGGGTGGAACGTGCGCCTGGGCACGCCTCTTATAAATTATGGAAACATGTCCTCCCCAAAATAAACTGGAGTTAGTAAAACTCATCATAGAATTCTTTATCACACGGCCGTTGTCTAGTTGTGAAATCTGTTCGGGTCCGTTTAGTTTAAACAATAGCAGCAGATACTTACACTTACTTATATTTACTGGCCTGCCAGCCTGCCGCCTGCTTGTTTGCCCGATTACTTCTTGTTGTTCTTCTTCTTCGTCATCTGGTGGCAACTCACTTGTGGGCCAGCCAAACACTTCTTGAGATACAATAATTATACCCATAACAGTGCGTGTTTGTTATCCAAGCCAGTTAACCAGCCAGCCAGCCAGTCAGTCATCCAGTCAGCAGACCAAACATCCAACCAAAACAACTTACTTCATAATTTATCAAGCTTATTTGTGATTCATAGTTAGTATTCGTTATTTCATTATCAATTGTGATCAATTTTATAATTAAAGTTTCATATCTGGCGGTAACGAAGACGACGTAAGCGGTAAATGAATTTCTAAACAAAAAACGCCAAACGCCAACATTCCGTCGCTGAAATTTGGATATTGCTCAAATTGGCAAGGATAAACGACATACCCGTAGAAGAAAAAGAAAAGAAAAACGAAGTAACAACTCGATTTAAGAACGAGAAAAATAAAAGTGTTTTCGTCCCATATACGTGTGCATTAATAAGTTTAGGATAACAGTTCCAAAGAAATACAAAATCCAAACCATTCGCGTGTGTTATCTCTCTGGAAAGTTAAAGAAAAATTATATAACTTAAAAGGATAATATCGACGAGATACCATATAATAAAAGCCGTCATTTTTAAACGGCTAAAGCTTGACCACATTTTGTTTTTGGTTCTTGCAACTTTGTGTTGTCCTGCTTAAAGGAAGCAGGATTTGTGCTTGAAATTGTCTAAAAGTGCTTCAAAATTTACTCGCCAACGACCTTTGACGCCTCCAGGGCGTTCAAACTAGAAGAAGATTTCGTGGGAGGCTGCATGACCATGTCGATGTATTCATCGACGGATAAAATGAAAATGTCGGCGCCCAGTTGTTTTCCTGGTCGCTACAGTCCTTCCTATCGAAGTTCCGAACAAATGAGGCGATGTATGCCAAATCCATCGGTAAGTATATGATATCATACCGTATGAAATATGTTGAGATTTCGAAAATTGTTACAAATACATTAAAATATGCGAGAAAATGTGGATTCGATTGGTTATTAGTGAGTGTAGCATAAAACGTATAGGAATTGGATTTGTGACCAATGGCAATTTTAGATTTTAAAATCACGGCGTCTATATGACAAAAAAAACAATATTCCAAATTTGAGTATGATTTTGCTAATATTTAAGAAATGCCCTTTTTGTTTATCTTACTTCTTTCTTTGTATTATAAAGTTTATAAAAAAACTTCGCTTTCTGACAGGGAAGCCACTATGTTAGAATGTTCTGCGAATAAATCACTTTCGGGTGAGATCGTTACATGCCCAAACATGGGTTGATATATCCCGTTTTCAATACCAAACATCCTAGGAGAACCAATGAAGTTTAAGAAAAAATCTAAGCTTTATTTGTTGTAAAGCGGTTTAAGACCATTTTTGTTATATTGAGATATTTAAATGTTCTATTTGTTCCAAAATTTTTTTAAGTGGTATTAATTTTATTTGTGACTTTGTGCCCTTAAACATGTTACAATATATAAAGTAATATGTTTTGTAAACTTTTCGAGAAAACCAAGGAGTGTATCAGAACCTAAAATGGACTTAAACCACATTCAAAATATACGCCTCAAATATTGCGTGTCTGTCATAATTTCACGACTGGCACGGTTTAATCAATATAGAATTTTTTCGCATTAATGTGCTGTCAAGGTATTTTAATATAGGGGTGTTCAAATACTGCAATTAAATGGCTCTTTTGCTATAATATTCTTAGAAAGAATTTTGTCAAAAGTTGTTGATTATAATAACGGTTTATTAATAACTCTGTTATGGTTGGAAAAAGTTGTTGTTATTATTGAATATCAGCTAAGTATTCGGCCGATTCTAACACGAACCGGAATCTATTGGGAGTATGGCTGGGCGTATTCTTTGTATAACATTCCATTTTCAAGAAGGTTTGTCGCAGTCGAAAGTATCTGCTTAGTTTTTAATAATATTATCATAAAAGCAATAAAATAAACAATATTTATGTGAATTCAATCTAAAATGTAATGATTGTTAAACAAATGTCATTGCAACTCACAGTGAAAAGGATCAAAGATAAAAGTTATTTAACAAACGGATTGTTTCCATATTTAATACTTAGTATGATATCCCTTATTATCTTTTAAAGCTTTCAAACATGCCGGCATAGATTTTCCAGCACTACATTTCAAATTATCTTTTAGAATATTATTCCCAATCACAAATTTTCAGCTCTATATTTCTAAATATTTTTTTTTTAAATTTTTAAATAAGACAGTTTTCCCACACCGGCAGCTCTTATATATCCCCATACCATTGCACAGTTGTCCCAATTCAATTTTTTTTGGCCAAAATTATTTAATACAACATAAATAGATTAATATTTATTATAATAATATTAATATTTATTGCAAATCCGTTAAAACGCGTTTCTGCAATCATAAGGTACAATATAGTACTATTTATTAGGTTTTTAGATATGCAAAGGCATACAAATGTTAGGGTACAAAATGTGATGTTTTAGTACAAACATGAGTTGTAAAACAAAATAAAATGCGGTAAACATAATTCAAAATTTACTATTTTTATAAAAGTATGACAAAACAGGCTTAAGAAGGTTGTTTTATACTATTAAGTAAAGAAAATAAAAGAACTCTATTAAGTTTTAAATTAATTAATTATTGAATATATGTAGATATAGAATATATGTATATATTTTCATCGCCATATTCTTTTTCGAATTCTTCATCTGTGGTTTCATCACAACCAGTATCATTCGAGGGCCGTAATTCACAGTTTAGTTCACAAACTAACAATTCGATTACTTCAGATGGCAGGTTTAACCGCTTTCTTTCTTGTAAGTGGGCGTTTAGGCGTATAGATGATATAAGTGGATCAGATGTATCCAATGCTCTATTAAATAGCGTGTAATAATCTGTCATTTTTATATATTTTGTTTCTGCATTCAGCAGCATCTTTAAAATATCTTAAATCGGACGGTACGGCTATGTCACAGTGTGGGCCAATTTTCAAAAAATGTTGCAGAAATGTTGTTTATACTATTAAAACCTTAAATATCAATTTTAAGAAAAATCGGATGAAACTTTTTCTTTATCCCACATTTTCAGTTCAATACTATATACAATAAAAACATCAATTTATAAAAAATTTCACTCAACTTAAAGTAGAAAAATACATTTTTTTCTAAAAAAGGCAAAATAAGGCAAAATATTTCATCTGAATATGATAGTACATACCCCTGCCAGCTTCCAAAAATTTTTTGGAGGAGACGATATTTTTACATTTTTTCTAAAGTTTAAGAAGATTTCAAAAATATTTGTAAAAAATAATTTTCAATATACACACAAACTTTTATCTCCCTACCCAGATATTACAACTTTCTTCGTTCTTTCTTTATATATTATGAAAGCACTTATTATCAGCTTCCAGATTCATAATAACTTTGGTCTGAATTTTACCCATTCGACACACACAGCACACCAAAAAGTATATATTTTACAGCACACAGTTTGTTCTATTTTTTATACAAAAAATTTTCAACTTTAGCATTACACCAACGAGCGGCTATTAATGGTATTTAGAAAAACCAATTATTTTCTGATGGTTTGAAGTGTTTTTTATTATTCCGCGCAAAAAAATTATAAAAATATGAAACTTCAAAAAAATAATTTTGGCCAAAAATTTTGTGATTGCGACAACTGTGCATTGCAGAGCCTCCTCCGTGCTTTACGGTTGGAATTGTGTGCATAAGGGCTTTATTCGCCCTGCGCCATACCTTGTTTTGTCCATCCGACCCAAACAAGTTAAATTTGCTTTCATAAGCAAAAATAACAAATCACCAAAATACAAAATAACCTTTTTCGTCTTATTTAACGAACTCCAATGGGATTTTGCGGTTTTTGGAGATAAAAATGTATTTTTCAGTGCAACTCTACCATGAAGACCATGCACAGGCAAAATACTTCGATACTTGATTTCTCAAAATAAAGAGTGCTTAACAAGTATTACTTCAACCGAAGAGCTTCCTTGGAGGTAGCGCTTTGAAATCCAGTTGACATCATTGGAATAACCAACGTGCTGTTTGTAGAGGTTTTTATTCTTTTTGCGGAACCTTGGTCATGCCAAATAGTTCCTTCACTAAACAAACTTTCTTAAAGTCTTGCTAGTTTTGCCTTAATGGCCTGATCCGATATCAAGGTCAATATTATCTGTATATATCTTTAAGCTATATAGCTATTATATATTGGTGTATATATACGCAAAAAATTAAAAAAAAAATTTATTGTAAAATAGCTAACGGAAAAACATGCCCAAGTAAAAAATTGATATTCTAACTGAAGGGAGTCTCCATAACAGAAACCAAAGGACATTTCTAAATACATGTATCGGAGTTAAAAAAAAAATTAGTTTACTAAATTGTGGAAATCATAAAAATGTTAACGTTTTACAAATCCGACCATTTATGTTACAAATATTTTCGGCAAACTACACAAATTTCATTTACGCCGGTATAAAAAACTTTTTTTTTTATTTTCCCCATGTAACTTTCAATTTTTCAACCCCAAAAAATGCAATGTGAAATTCTTTGTATCGTTTAAAATTTAGATATAAATAAATTATACAGCAACAATTTTTGTAAACTGTCTCAATTGTCCCATAGAAAAAGTACAAGTTTCCACCCCAATTTGCAGGAATTAAAATCGAATCGTGTAAAGATGCCGTCTTATACTTTTCTGTATTTTTGGTAAAATTTGTGTTTCTTTTTTAATTAAAATACAATCTGTTTTTTGTTTTGACAACAAAGACGCGGTCATGTCTAATTGTATCTATATTGTACATTTAGGGTGTTTTTTGGTTATTAGACTAGATGCATCTTAAACAGAACTTCGATTTTGTAATTATTTTATTTAATGAGGTGTTTGTAAAAATTAAAGCGGGTTTAGACTATTCATTTTAATCGAGATACCAAATACCAGTCGTTTAGACTAGTATACAAATTATATAAAGTAGATTTGTCAGCTGTTATTTGTTTACATAAACATTTTACCAACGAGTGAAACACCAAGCCCAAGGTTTTGGTGCAGGAACATCCTGCTATAGAGATGATGGTGGAAACCTAGTGGCAGATATAGTTAGTGTTTTGCAAGGCTCTGGTATCAAATAGTGGCGGTAAAGAAGAGATGACGGTATAGATTGTATACCACCAATAATAAAGCAGCAAGTACCGATGGGTTACCAGCCAAGCTATTCAAGACCGGTGCACAGTGGGAAAAAATGCAGATCTAGCGCGCAGAAAATAAAAGTAGATGTTTTACTGTATGTTTATCGATATTTTGGATAAGAATAGAATTAGATGGACAATTTTAATTATTTTATGAAAAAATTTGGCAATTTTTTTTATTAACCCATTAAGCGCCGATTTTTTTAGAAAAAACTTAAATTTTTAGGTGAAAATACTATTTTGAAGCATTTGAAACATTTTATAATAAGCAACATTTTTCGTTGTAACTAATAGTACTCCTAAAATGGGAGCTTCTTTTAAAAATTCCGAAACATTTGGAGGGTAAAAAGTGGGTTAAGGGCAAACACTATTGTTTTTATATATATCTTTATTATTGTTAATATTACATATCTAAAACATTAAACTATGTATATTTTACAAAATTTAGGCGTTACTTATTAAATACTAATCACATTAAGAATCCGAGTTTTGATCTGAATTAGTTGGTAGCATTGGATCCTCCAGTAGTTTAAGGACTTCTCCAGATAGTGGCTCACTATATCTATGGTTAAGAGATGCACTACGAGACAAACTTGATATTTTTGGATCAGAAAAAAATAGCAACCAATTGAAAAGATCCCTCATTGTTTCCTCACGACTAATTTTTCGGGTGTACAGTTCCCTGTAGTTCCGAA